AGATTACTTCCAGCGTGTTGAAAGGTATAGTGGTGAGAACAGAGGTTTTCCTCCTGTGCGGCCATTGTCCTCTTACTTCTCAGTGCTGAATCTCTTGTAGCAGAGAACAGGGTTGATTGGATGTGATGGCTTCTATTAACTGTCACCTTGTCAGAATCAAAGACTACCTGGGAGACAGGCTCTCCCGGGGGACACACCTGCGAGGAGTCATCTTAATTGAGTTAAGGGAGATGGGAAGGCCCAGGCTCAAACTGAGCAGCACCATTCTCTGGGGTTGCCATCCTGGACTGAATAAAAGAGAGGAGAGTTGAGCATGCGCATCCGTTTCTCTTTCTGTCTCCATGGCAGATGCAGTGTGACTAGCTATTTCAAGCCTATTTTTTCACTTTGGGTTCCTTGCCATGCTGGACCACCCTCTTGAACCATGAGCCAGATTAGAACCCTTTCCCTAAGACGTGCAGAGATGACCGGCCACACTGGTGGAAGCCCATGAACTGTAGACTAGTGGCCGTGGAGCCCCCATGGGACTGGATTAGGCCCTCTCGATATGGAAGATGGTTGTTTGGCTTGAAGTGTTTGGGGGGGCACGCAGACGGGGGGATCGAGAACCATCCCTGGTGCATGGGCAGGCTTTTGGGAGCCCAGTGCCTGTGGTGTGACACCTTGTGCAGCCTTGGTGCAGTGGGGAGGGGCTTGGACCTGCCTAAGCTCAGTGTGCCGGGCTCTGCTGATGCCCATGGAAGACCTTGATTTGGGGGATGTAGGGATGTGGGGTGGCTTGAGAGGGAGGGCTGGAGGGTGGGAGGAGGGGGGAGATTGGATCTGTGGGTGGTATGTAGAGTGAGTAGAAAATTTCTTAATAAAGAAAAATGAAAAAAAAAAAAAACAAAAACCTTTTCCTCTTAAGCCGTGTTTGTCAGGATATTTCATCACAGCAACAGGAGACGAAACTAAGACATTGGACAAAATGTTACCTCAAAAATGAAGGGTGTTTCAGAGACCAGCATTTTCTTCTACATGGAAAGCTTTGGTTGTTCTCCCCAATTTTCCATCATGAGAGAGTTCTTAGTCTGTAGCAACTGTGCCAAAACTAAACATCCTAAGACTGAGGGAGAAAAGGAAAGATGTGGATCCAGGGATGAATTGTGCTCAGAATTGGAGATGAATGAGTGGGACTGAGGCCTAAATTCCATCCCTGCAGGAGATGGTTGGTGTATTTCTTGGGATGTTAAGACAGAGATGAGTGTCTGCGTGGGTTTCACAACATGGGACCAAGCAGTTGACAGCATGCACGTTTGTGTGTGTGTGTGTGTGTGTGTGTGTGTGTGTGTGTGTGTAACAGTAATAAAGAAGAGGTTAATAATTTGACAGGGAGTACAGGAGATACAGGAGGAATGGAAGAGATAAAGGGAGAGATGGAAATGCTGTAAATACAGTACTTATGTATACAATTCTTCAAAGATTTAAATAAAAAATAATTTTGAAGTAACCAAAAAGAGGAAGAAAAGGGGCCATTGAGGATGTGACTGGAAATATGACTTCCACAGGGAATCATATTTTAGAAAATCCTCATCAACAGAAAGTTTACTCTTTCTCTGAATTCAAGGTGAATGGTGTTGCAAGTTAACCGCTTCCAGTTGGGTTTGAGCAATTCCAAATTATTAACCAGAAATATGAAACCCAGTAAAAGTAGTCTTTGTTCTCATTCTCTCTCCTTTTAGAAAAAGGCTGTGGTAGTCACTGAATGCTTGGTGTGTCTGTGGCATTAATGACAGAGACAGATACCACAGGAAAATCTTCACCTGGCCTTTTATTTATTCCAACACGAGGAGGAAGAGTGTTCTTGGGCTGTATGTGTTTTCTACACAGATTGAATGAATGGAGAATGTTTAAGTTAACTAGTACGCGGGCATCAGGAGGCGGTCTCTTTAGGAAGGAGCATCACTGAGTTAGCAGTTAGTGGGACAGCATGTTTGTATGTTTGTATATATGGACTAACCTTCAAAGTGTCCTCTCCGTTGTCTGCAGCTAAAATATTTTGAGAGAGAAGTCTCCAGGTAGTTGTTTTTTGTTCTTTATGTACAGCCTAGCACAGTGGCCATAGAAGAGGTCCAAATCTATTATACAGGCTACATATTCCAAACATATTCCCATCTGGCAGCATTTGACAAAAGCTAAACATGTCTGCAAGTGTTCCTGTCCATCATCTTTCCTTCTTGAACAATGACCTTAAACTGAGCAAGACCAGTAGTATACGTATTTTTCCCAGACAGCATCTCATGGTTCAGGATGGCCTTGAGATTGGGATGGACCTGCCTCTATCTCCTGAGTTCTGAAATCACAGGTGTGTGCTTTCAGCTTTCTGTGGTACTGAAACCCAGAAAGGTGCATGTTAGTTGAGCTCTTTACTGAGCAACCCACATCTTCAGCTCAGAAATAGTTTTAAAACAAAGTCTGTTCATGTGTTCTTACCTTCTGTTTCTCTTTGGTGACATATGCCCGGCTCTGAGTTAGACTGTGAAGGCGCCGAGCTTCACTGTCCAAGAGGATTTCGTCTCTCCTAGCACCCATCTTTTTCTGAACCCCAAACTTCCTTATCCTCTTGGCATCCTCTAAATATAGCTTCCTGATCTACTTTCTGTTTTAGGATCTGTGCTTGAGAAATTATGTTTAAGTCAGAGTTGAAATCTGGTCTCCTAGAGCTTACATCTGGCTCCTACACATACTGTGTTTGACTTCCACAGACTTAAAAAAGTGAACATGTCAGTACTTATGAATCAGAAGATTGTGCATAGAACCTAGATTCTTTAACACCTCTTGACAAAGGGGCCAAATGGCAATACCATGTAACAAAGATGACCAACCATGGTCCCTTTCAGTGGGGCTCATGTGGGTCTGCTCTGGAGTCCACACTCATTTCCATTACTTGTCTGTCCCTGGTAGGCATTTGATTTTCGTTTTTTTTTTTTCCCGAGACAGGGTTTCTCTGTGTAGCTTTGCGCCTTTCCTGGAACTCACTCTGTAGCCCAGGCTGGCCTCGAACTCATAGAGATCCGCCTGACTTCATAGAGATCCGCCTGACTCTGCCTCCCGAGTGCTGGGATTAAAGGCATGTGCCACTACCGCCTGGAGGCGTTTGATTTTCTGACTTAAATACAGATTACTGGAGGCCTGGTACATAACACCCTGTAATATAACTCACTGGTTAGTGTATGGCTGAAAGTCATTTCATGTCACTTGTCACTCATTATATATAAAAATGTTCTCAGAAATCTTAATACTCAGTACTCTAGCAAGTCAGGGAAGAGAGGGTTTAATTTTAGAGTTTAGATTTTGATGACTGCATGGGCTTTTTTATGCATGTTTGTTTACTTGCTTGCTTTTGCAGTGACATTAAACTCATATAACAGTCAGTTTGGTTTGGGGTAATGACCATAAACAAAATAATAGCCACACACTAGTTATTGAGTCTGGCATTATGCTAGTCACTGTAATTTCCTAATTTTGACAGAACGTGAGTGGCTGTCATGCATTGCTTTTAAAAAGTCCCGAGTTTGAGTAATGTTTCTCACTCTTAAAAAACAAAAACAAATACAGTCTAAATGTGAGACTCTAAGGATGCAGTGAATGTAAGTATGCCCTAAAACAACTCATGGCAGCTTCATAGTTAACAGCTTAGCTTCTACTCAGTGTGTCTTTATTCCTTGGTGGATGTGTTTTTATATCTCATCTGTACCTTCCCCTCCGCTTGTAACCTGGTCCTGGTCTCCAGTCTGCTATGTTACAGTGAATATTGTTAATCCCGAATGAAAACGATAAAGGGAACATTTGATGCTATTATGTTGCTTCCACTTCCGGTTTGCTGCTTGCTCTCTCTCCATTCCAGCAGTCTAGCTGTGACTGTTGGAGACCTCTGCACAGGATCAGCATGGATCATTCCTACCTTTGCCTGGCTATTGCTTCTCCTTCAACACGCTGCTGGAACTGGAGAACCATGGGCCTCTCTGTCTTAGGTGTTAACAACAACAGTGTTACAACAGAAATCCCCCTGGAATACTTATTTAAGAAGGAAAACTTCCAACCTCCTTTCCGTTTTCTACCCATCCAGTAGATCTGAGTCAGGGCCTATGGATCTGCATTTTAACACTGCCAATTTTAAAACAAAATCTTTGTTTGAAAAATGACATGTGTTTTTATAAATAAAGTTATTATAAACAAGAACAAGAGAGAGTCTATTGACCAAAAGCTCAGGAGTTGGGGTGCTCTGAGAATTTCAGACCCTTGAGTGATAATGATTTGAATTTCTTTTCTCTTCATAAGCAGCTGTGGTGTCTTTGCCTATGGTGGTTCTGAGTCCATAGTGTATTTTGGGGTATTTGCTTGCGCTCACATGCCAGTGACTGGCTACTGCTAATCAACGAGTATCTATCACAGAAGAAATCGGCTAGTAACAATGAGCTATCAATACAGCAAGAATTGTAAGGATCTCCATGACTTTCTTCTTCTTCTTCTTCTTCTTCTTCTTCTTCTTCTTCTTCTTCTTCTTCTTCTTCTTCTTCTTCTTCTTCTTCTTCTTCTTCTTCTTCTTCTTCTCCT